GTATGCACGGAATTTCTTCCCGGTGGAGTCCAACGTGACCCCCCCCCCATTTCAGATTCATCAAATTCATCACCCAACGTTATTTATCGTCAAACTGGTGTCGGATGAAGCTCCTAAGTTTTCATCAGTCACATTTCACCGTTTAAAATGTCTGTTTTATCCCCTTGAATGAGTTTGTAATGGTATGACTGTCTTTATAAGGCGCTTCCTGGCTCCCCCCGTCTCCAAACTTTGAGGCCAGCAGCTCTCTGTTTACAAGCCTAGCAGCGAGAAACTGTTTTGAATGGTTGTTTTGGAAACGTGGTGTGTTTTAGGAAATGGAAAAAAATAGGTTTCATGGTGCAGTCACACACTTCCTGGTCACAAAACGTTCTCTAGATGTGCACCAAATGCGTAAAAATGCGCAAATTTTGGCAAAGATTTATTCATCATTTAATGTGGTTTTAACATCACTTTTATAAAGTTTGAAGTCCGTGCTGTCCAATCCAGCTCACTGTTATTTACAGAAGCCCTGTGAAAGCATCACAGCTTGGCTGATCTCAGAGTGTTAAAAGAAAAAAAAAATCCTGTATCCGCATCGTGATCCAGAACATCACCAACATTTAAAGGTATATTCCTTGACCCAGTACCCATAAGTGGTAAAAATGTTATGAAGATCCATCCACAAGTTTTTGAGTAATGTTGTCCACAGACAGAACAATTGAACGACAGACTGACAGACATACGCAACCGAAAACATTACCTCGCCCTTGGCAGAGGTAATAAATAATATGTTTCAATGCAGCAAAGAAAATAAAGTAAAAGGAAGAAGATCAAATACTTGATCTTTTACATAATGCAATGTTTTCCCCTACTAATATTGCCGACACCCCCCTTGCCCCCCATCCATGAGTTGGCTTTAAATTCATGCAATTCACTGAGCAATTTAGTTGAATAGCCCTAATTCTGGTCATCTACTTGTTATAAAACACTTTTCTTATTCAGGATATTATATGATATTATTTTATATTATATTATATTATATGATATTATATTATATTATATTATATTATATTATATTATATTATATTATATTATATTATATTATATTATATTATATTATATTATAGTATCTGTAGCCTTGTGATTATATATATTATATTTATTTGAGTAATCCTTAAGGAATATTCATTTCATTTTGTAAGTGATGCTCTGACAAAAAAAGTTATCAATGATTTGAAGTTTCATTACTGACTTTTCACCTTGTTTGTGTTGTGAATTGTTTTCTATTTGTGGGTAAATTTAATAATAAGCTTTTGTGTCTGTGTTTCTCTCTGTTTTTCTCTCTCACTCCGTTTACATACAGAAACCTGAACGCAGCTGTCACAGTAGCCTTTTACTCAGGGCAAGTGAGAGCCTGCAGATGGGGCCTGCTAAATGCTCGTGCCACAGCACATCAGCGCCCAAGAAACAGGAGCACCTGCTGGGATCACAGGTGACCACTGGCCACTTCCACATGCATGTACCCAAACATTCACACACAGTCGTTCCTAAGAAAACGCTCCGCACATACATTGCTGTGGAAGGTGAAGTGTCTTGCCACATAAACAAGSTATACAGGCGTGTTTAAAACAAATAAAAAGAATCTGAAACCAGGGCCAGTTCTGCTGTTTTTATGAACTGTGTAGACATTTATTACTTACAGATATGTGAGTGTAGCCTKCACCACGCGAGTTTGTGTATTTATGCCTCCGGTTATGTCTGGGTGTATTCAGCACACATCCTTCTGAGAGTAAGATACTGGGTGTGCCCACGAGTGCGAGGAATTTAGCAAAAATGGCCAAAGGCTGTGGGTATCCTTTACAATTTAAATGAGGTAGTTTATTTCCTCAATAAAAATTAAAATACTGCACAATATAGGCCAAAATAAGTGAAGCCCTCAGCTATTGCAGAACAATTTTAACCTCTCTGTGGAGATTTGCCAATTGAGCTCTAGATTGCCCGTATATATA